CAAAACACCGCAGTATATTGCCATACGAAACTCAAAGCCGATACCCAATACAACACTATACAACATCGTATGCTTCGGATGAAATCATCAGTGCTCAGCCAATCACAATCAAGGTTGAAAAGTCTATATACAATGTAAGATTTTAAAGAGATGTATAACGTACATGTACACAAACTCTACAATGTACCTTTTCCACTGATATTTTTTAAGATATTCTCAATTTAAAATCATAGTACCATGTAAGATGTTCTTACATGTATACAAAAAAAATCAGTATACATTACCAGGAGTTTTAACCAGATATAAAATAATGAAAATCTTAAAAAAATCTTAAAATGAAAAAAATGGTATCTTTTAAAGAAACAATTACTAGTAACATAAATATAGTCTTATATAGCTTGTATTTCCCATAAATTTGATTTAGAGGAGGTGTACAGTATTACCAGGCATCATTAAATCGCAAAAAAGTTCCTTCAATAATTGGAATTATTAAATTATACAGGGAATGAGAATTAAAGTTCAAAACTATCTTGCGTATGTCCTTTAAACACTGTTAAATTAATTAGCTCTTAAACTGGTCATTCCTTTTAAGAAAGATATACAACTGTACTATCTCACTTCCCTTATCATCGCAGGAATATCTATATGCTGTAATTTTTCCAATTTAACTTTCATAAAAAATCATAAGATGTATTTTTCTTGTTCATAATAATACGAGATTGAGTGTAGATATACATGTAGGCCTACATGATATATATGCTATTTATCAATTAATTTAAAATTTTCACTGATTGTGAACTTGAATAACCTCACGTGTCTTTTAATTGTTAAATTGACTTTTTTGATTGTTTTTTTTTTTTAATGTGGAGTAGGTAAATAAATTTTTTGTTTTAAATTCTTGATATCTTTGAAATGCGACTGATTTAATTTACAGAAAAGTTCTTTATGTAAAAAGTCGTTCATCAAAAGTTTGTTCATCAATACATTTTTTGCCTTTGAAAATTTCCCCGGGAGGGTGTATGTTATCGTATACTGAAAGTGAAAGAAAGTCATAATTGCTAGCGCTCTCGAGCGCTAGCAACTACGTTAGTCTATATTTCTGAAATACGCATGCTCGACTTCACGGTCGGGGATTCTGGGAAAACTACTGCAGATAGACTGTACGATAACAGTTTCGTTTTGTCATACGTCATACAAAAATAGAAATGATCCGAATTTACACTGGCCTTTCCTGTCTGATATGCGCAATATACATTTCGTATATTAGAGACAGTCAATTCCAGTCTAGATCCGGTTTCTGAATTTTTTTATTAAATTTATTGTCTAACCTACACATAAAAGTACAAGAAAAAATTTTGCCATATAATGCCAAGATTTTAGACATCTAGCTTTCCTTACAGTTTTACCACCTTAGTGGATAATTCCGGCAAGCTCGGAAAAAACAACAACAGCAACAATAAAAAAATCTTTTTCAGAGTATGTCGGAAAGACATGGCAATTTAGTGTTTATCATCTGAAAATACATATGATCTGAAGTTTCGTGTTCTGTTGTCTAACCTGCACGTAAATGAACAAAAAGTAACAGTAACTCGGGTCTTATAAAACCAAGACTGTTATTTCTAAAGTTGTAATGAATACATAGCTTTTCTAATCTACCTTCATGGATCTTTCCGGCAAGCTCGGAAAACCGCAGCAACCTCGGATATGTTTTCCGAGCTTGCCGGAAAGGCCCGAAGGTGCTCATTGGTTCTACTGATCGAAATTGAAATTACAGTAAAATACAGAATGCTTAAAGCACAGTTAGGAGTTATGCTTTTTGCCGACGTGAAGCACTCTTAGATTCACCATTCTGAATTGTGAACCCCCCCCCCCCCCACACACACACACAAACTCAACCCTCAGTGCACCAATCTGCCTTCCTGTTAATAAATAATCGATTCAGCAAATTTAACAAATGGTTTGGATATCTTCTTCTGTATTTTATTATGCTACAGCGCTAGCTCACCAATCTTTTTTAAAAGATAAGCTTGTTATATTTAAATACTAATACATTGTAAAATGTGTAATACGCCCTCTGGTAATGAAGAGGCGTGAAGGGTAAATTGCGCCCTCTGGATCCACCGGAAGTCGATCATACACTGTACAATAAAGCCTCGAGAGGTTGTCTCTGGCGAGAGTTATAAGAGTACAACAACGTTAAAGTTACCGTAACAGCAGTTCTTACATCAACTTACTTGTGAATGGAGTAAGTAGTTGGAATAATATCAAGTATTTCTCTTTTTAAAGATGATCTAATTAATGCTTTTAACATTTATAGTTCTATGAAAAGGACGAACATTTAGCTACGTTGCTTGGGCTACCTACCGTATCTTTATTTAGCTACTTATTTTATATTTTAATTAATGTAAGTTTTCACAATTTTGCTTTTTGTTTAAAATAGACAAAAAATCACAAGTATATAATTATAGGGAGTTAAAAAGCATTCCAAGTTAGTTTAAACATTGCTACTTTTGAGTACTTTTAAACATGTTAAACCGGCAGGTCGATTTACCCAAATGGACTCAAATGGACCCAAATAGAACCCAAATGGAAATCAAAATGGACCCAAATGGAAATCAAATGGACCCAAATGGAAACCGAATGGAATATTAAATATACATTATCGTATTATCAAGTTGTTACTTATTTAAATGATGAAAATAATGAACTTATTCATTTCTAATATTGTATTTTGAAATACAAATTAATTTTCTTTAGTATTCTATATATCGGCAAAATTATTGCCCCCCCCCCCCCCCGATTCCTACGGCCATGAAAACTATATAAACTTTAAAATGAAATACTTCAATTTTGTATTTAATGATATGCAAAAGTTATTACAAATAGAAAAAAAAGATTAATTCGTATTTTAAAATACAATATTAGAAATGAAAAATTAAATATTCTCCATTTGCAAGTTCATTATTTCATCATTTTAAACAAACATTCTGAGAGTATTGCATTAGCAATACTAGTCCCCTACCGGCAAGTGTAATCTGGTTCCCCTTAAGAATTGAAAATGTCATATCTCCGTCAAAAATCAATGATGCGGAACGAAATGCAAACTTGATCTATAACTAATCAAGGTAAAGTCACGTACCAAAAATCAGCTCAATATCTGAAAGCGTTCAGAAGAAAATTGCGGAAAACCCTTAAAAATTGAAAAGGCTATAATTCCTTCAAAAATCAATGAAGAGGAACGAAATGCAAACTTGATCTGTAACTCATCAAGATACACTCACATGCCAAAAATCAGCTCAATATCTGCAAGCGTTTAGGAAAAAAGTGCGGAAAACCAAGTGGGACAGACTGACAGACAGACAGAGGGACAGACAGACAGACGGACAGACAGACAGACAGACAGACGGACGGACAGACGGACGGACAGACTCAGAGGAAACCTATAGTCCCCTCCGGTTTCACCGGTAGGGGACTAATAAGTAACAACTTGCGAATACGATGATATATGTTTATTATTCCATTTGGATCCATTTGATTTCCATTTGATTCCATTTGGGTTCCATTTGGGTAAATCGACGCACCCTGTTAAACAGAAGATGTATTATTTTTCCATTGTTTGAGTATCTGTTCATTTGGTCCTACTAAACGGAGAACTCTAGAGAACCCGGCCAAGGTTTATTTGGTCAATTCATATAAATTTTATGCATAATTGAGTTTATTACCTTGTGTGCAGTGAGACATGGATTAGTAATAGTATGATTACTTCATATTGTGCTGAATTATTACCAGTCAATTATCATGTTAACCAGAACTGTCTTTTTTGTTTTTTAATATTCCATTCAAGAAGTAACACGAAGATCACAAATTAACTGTTGTATATAGATAGTTTTTTGACTGACACGATTTTAGCAAGAGTTATATCCCGTTGGTCACCAAATTGGATGTATACAAGCCCGAATTAGTTCATTATTCAACCAAACACAATTTTTCTTACGAATTTATGTTAACACAAGCTTCCTTAAATTTGTAATTTTAGTATTTTAAGAATTTTTGCCCTTATATTTCTGCCATACAAGTTTAAAATTGGTTACTCAAAGAGGAATATTCACTCGTTGGACCTCCAATATGGCGGCCAACGGGCAATAACTCTTGTTAAATTCAGGCTTGTCGAAAACTTATCTATAGCCTATATAGTATTTTGACTGCAATTGTGCTTAAAGAGATACGTCTTCCAGAGTGATTTTTTTCATGAATTGTTTTCAGATCAGTTCACAGTTGAAAGCCAAAGTGCAATTTTCTGCACACCCTGAAAAAAATGCTAATTTAAGGTAAACATGTAAGTATATGACCAGGTACCTAAATAAAGGTACTTCAGGTTAAAAAAAAGCTATGTACTAAGTAATTCAAGCTATGTAGCTAAATCTAATGAATCAGTGGTGGATTTAAGGGGGGTTGCACCCAGCACGCACCCCCTTAGATTGTCAGAGTTAGCGTAAATCATAGTTTCATAGAGGAAGTGTAAAAAAAAAAATGTCTACTCGGTAGGCCTCATTTTTACCCTACTAAATCTCTTGAAACAGGAGCATGGGCCCTTTCCAGGGCTTCACCCTGGAACCACTGGGGGCCTCGGGGTGGCCTCAGACCCCCTCCCTAATTTTTGCACCCCTCCCCAACTTCATTTCCTGGATCCGCCCCTGGCGATTGTGCCAGACCGGATGTAATGTCTAAAATAAGAACAAATTAGTGATGTACATGTATCATGATGAATTGTCCATATTTTATTTAAGCAAACTCTAAACCAGTGTCTATACTTGTATTACTTAATTAAGACATGAAGGATTATATTTCCTATTTATTTTGCCTGAAATCGTAGAAGTACAATTGTATGGATGTCCAGAAATAATTAACATTTGTACAGTACCGGAGTGAGGAATAACAATAGTTCTACTTCTAACTCAGCTGATTTTTTTTTTAACTTTCAGATTCATGTTATGAAACAAGATAATGGCTTCTCCCAGTTCCAGATCTCATGGAGTTATCACCTGTGATCTTTGTGAGAACCCTGCCAAGAAATTTTGTAACAGCTGCCAAGTCAGTTTATGTGCAAAATGTGTCCACAAACATGTCAAGAAATTCAAGTCTCTGACGCATGACATAGTTCCCTTCAAGGATAGAATGACACTTGTTTTGCCCGATTGTGAATTTCATTCTAACCAGAGATGTGAGGCCCAATGTCAGCAGTGTGATGTCCCTGTCTGCATTAAATGCATCATCAATTCCCATAATGGTCACAGTATAACAGACATGTCAAAGTTCTTCATTGAAAAGAAAGAAGAAATCCGTAAGGAAACTCTCGAAATTGAATCCAGTATTTTGCCAATGGTTGAGAAGAAGGCTTCTTTTGCAAGAATTAACATGGCATACAGAACAGAAGACTTCATCGACATGGAAATAGCAATGGTGGAACATAGACAGTTCTGGCATCAAGAAGTCGACATCATCTTCGATAAACTCAGTTCGACAATAAAGTCTATGAAAGATAGATATCGGTGTGTCATGAAATTCCACAAATCACATCTAGAAAACATGATTCCTCAAATAACACAAACAGTTCAACAAAACAAAGAAGTCTTGAAGTCCAAAAAAGTGTCTGATGTCACAAATTATAAATCCCAACTGATGAAATACCAAAACAACTATGATTGTATTGACATCAATGAGCCAATTCCTTCCTTATTAACCAATACTTTTGAAGAGAACGTTCTTCAAAAGAGAGAACTGTATATAGAGCTGGGTGAATACAAGGCTACATTGACACAGGGACCAGAGTTATTTGCCAAAGCCAGAGATATTTCCATCATTTCTACTGAGGATAGAAGTCCATTGAGAGTGGCCTGTGTAGAAGAAGATAAAGCCTGGGTTAGTTACTTAGATAAAACCCTAAGATGTATTGACCAACAGGGGACTGTACACGAGACCCTTACCCCCACGTGTCAAGTAGCTGACTTTTCTGTTACTTCATCAGATGAACTCATTTATATTGATTCTGAAAACAAAACAGTGAACAAAGTCAACCAAGGAAAGACAGAGGTACTGATCACCCTACCAAAAGACTGGACACCTCTATCACTAGGCCGTACAACATCAGAGAACATTCTTGTCAATCTGGAGAAAGACAACCGACATAAAATTGTCTGCTTTCAGGGACAAACAGTTAAACAGGTAATTTATAAAGACAAGAAGAACAGAGAAATCTTTGGACGTGGATGTTCTTCTCTGAGTATGGCTGAGAACGGCAATGGAGACCTCTGTGTTGCTGATTTTAATGCCGGCATTGTGGTTGTGTTGAATAAGGCAGGAAGAGTCCATTTCCGATATGACGGTACACCAGCCATGAGGGAGGAAGAATTCAAACCTGATCATATTGTGACATGCTCCATGTGTCGGATCATTGTGGGGGATTTCATCAACAATGGTTGTCTACACATTCTAAATATGGATGGACAGTTCTTGAGATGTGTGGATAATTTTGGAGTAAATAGCCTCGATGACATCACTGGACTGAGTGTGGACCCTGATGATAGGTTGTGGATAGTAGTGGATTGTGAAGAAGTTAAAGTGATTCAGGTCTTTAGATAGGAATTCCAATGTAGTGAAGGGGATTCAGATCTTTAGACTTTAGATCTTTTAATATAGTAATGAAGTGAAGGTGACCCTGGTCTTTAGACAGGATTTTTATATAGTGAATGTGAGCCAGGTCTTTGGACAGGATTATAGTAAATGAATGTGAGCCAGGTCTTTAGACAGGCTTGTAGTAGGAAGTAAAGGTGATGCTTAATTTACTAGAAGATGAGTTCTTTCTGTGTTTCAAATGTGGTATTATTAATATACATTTCAATTTTCTTTTTTAATTTGTTTTTATCACATTGTTTTCACTTTGCAATATATTTTTTTAATATTTAATTGTACGTGGTAGGTCCAAAAGAAACAGTTGTTACCTGAAATCCCCTAAAATGTAACCTGCAGATAATCCCTTCATCCTGTAAATGATACCAAGTTTTAACCCTTTGTCATGATGATTAAAGATAGTAAGAATTTTCTATAAATGTTTGAATACCTGTGAATGTGACAATTAGATATTGAATAACCCTCATGATTATTTTTCTGCTTTGCAAACTACTGAAGAGTACATGTAATGAAAAAAAATATTATTGAAAAAAAGGTTTGTTTGAGGAATAAAATGTACAGTCAGGTGCATAATACATTAACATTTTATTTTCAAAAATAGGGCAAATGCGTTTTTTGTTTTTTGTTGTTGTTGTTTTTTTTTTTTTTGTCACAATGAGTTACCTCTCTTTGTTTCTGTCCTTCATTAATTTCTTTTTCCCCATCATTGGGAACTCAAACAAGTTATCTTTCCTAAATAGTTTCAATAAAATGAAAAATTGTTTAAGTCATTTTGTGTCATTCTCCCTAACTTCACACCATGTGCTCCACATGTTTTTCCTCGAATCCTCGTGCACCAAAACAAAAACAAAATTAATGTTTTGTTTATTCTAAAGTTTGCTTTATCAAAAAAAAGTGTTTAAGGTGTTTGGAAAAGTGGAGGAAATTGATTAACTTTGTTAAATGATAAAAGCTTTGTTTAATGATGAAGAGTTGACCAAAAAAATGTAATAACTCGAATTAACAAGTGAAATGCTATTTATCTCCACCTCCTTAACAATCCTCCATTGGAGTCTGTGCACTGCATCTTCAATCGGCAATCCTCGGCTGGTTCTGCTACGCTCCATACAAACCTCAGAGAAGCTCCGTGTGCTGCATCTTGTGTTACATTTTGGAATCTCAAAATTGCATATTGGTGGAAAATAATAATAATAATAATAATAATAAAAATCAGACAAAATCTATGACAAATCTATTTGCAGTCACGTGATAAAACAAGAGGTCATTGGGGCACAATGCTCACCTGAGTCACTATGACCCTGCACTGTACTAATTTTTTTTTCAAATATTCATTTGTGAAACTTTGATCACCTATTGTAGCCCCACCCTGGGGGTTACTGTATCACGAATTGAACATACTTGAATCTACACTATCTGGGTATGCTTTCATATCGTTAATCAATATGACTAAAACGTGCTTTTTAAACATTTATTTCTATGTAAAAAAAAGTTGATTGACTATTGTGGCACCACCCTATCTACACTATCTGAGGATACTCCCATTTAATATAACTAATCATGGCCTTGATGTATTTGAGAAGAATGTTAAAGATTTTCCCTATTTATTCCCATGTTAGACTTCACACTCATATAGTTGCCACACCCTACCTTCAGGGGTCATGATTTGAACAAACTTGACACTATCTGAAGATATTTTCATATTTAATATAATGACTAATCAGGGCTTTGCTATTTTTGAGAAAACCTAAACATTCTTTGCAAAACTTTGATTGCCTATTGTTACATCACCCTAACCACCCCCCTCCCCATCCCCCCAAAAATGGTCAGTAAGGATATTGATGACAATATTGTAAAGTGAATGTGATACATTGTATTTTGATAAAAAAAAAATCAGAAATTCTGAGAAACTCCTAACTGTAACTGAATCGTTCGTTATTGGGGAAGATATTAAATGGTGAATTATCTTGGCCATGAGTATATCTGTTAATACTTTTTTGACGCTATATTTAACTTGAATACCTTTCTACCTACAGAGTTCGTATTTTATAATTACGGTTACCTACATCATAGGTGGAGCATGGTTATAGGTAAACACGTTGGGGATCGTCTGTCAAAGGACATGGTCATACGTCAAAAAACTGGTAATTTTCTATCATTTTTACACAATGCATGATTTGACATAATAGCTTCGAGACCTTTAACCTACAAATTCTTTACATGACTGATTTTACTACAGATTGAAAGAGGGTGGGTGGCTGGTGGTGTGTGTGTGTGTGGGGGGGGGGGGGGGTTAGAGAGTGCATGCTAAAGGTTTTCTGCCGACTGGGTAAAAGGGCAATTAAAGTCATACGTTGCGATCACTGATATGACAATGAAAAAGCTCCAGAGGGTTAACATTTATAAACTGAAGTATTTACAGTATTTTTATGCCCCCGTATCGAAGATTCGGGGTATATAGTTTTTGCCCTGTCCGTCCGTCTGTCTAGCTGTCTGTTTGTTTGTCCGCAAAAACTTTAACGTTGCTCATAACTTTTGATTGGTTTGAGCTATGGCTTTCATATTTCACATGTGTATTCCTTGTGACAAGACCTTTCTTTGGATACCACCATTTTTTACGTTTTGACCTTGACCTTGGAGTTTAACGCAGTTTACAAAATCTGACAGAACTTTAACCTTGGCCATAACTTTTGAACGGGTGCTAGGGCTTTCATTCTTCATATATGTAATCCTTGTGATAAGACCTTCCTTTGGATACCAACAACTTTGACCGTTTGACCTTGACCTTGGAGTTTGACCTACTTTTGAAAAACTTTAACATTTACTATAATTCATACTTCACATGTGTAATCCTTGTGAGAAGGCCTTTCTTTGGGCACCATTAATATTTGACCTTGACCTTGATGTTTGACTTACTTTTGAAAAACCTTCCTTTGAATACCAACAGCTTTGACCCTTTGACCTTGACATAGGAGTTTGACCTACTTTTGAAAAACTTTAACATTGGCTATAACTTTTGAACGGTTAATGCTAGGGCTTTCATACTTCACATGTGTAATCCTTGTGACAAGACCAACAACTTTGACTTTGACCTAGGAGTTTGACCTACTTTTGAAAAACTTTAACATTGGCTGTATCTTTTGAACGGTTGGTGCTAGGGCATTCGTTCTTCACATGTGTAGTCCTAGTGACAAGACCTTCCTTTGGATACCAACAACTTTGACCTTGACCTACATGTAGAGTTTGACCTCTTTTTGAAAAATTTAACCTTGGCTATAACTTTGAACAGTTGGTGCTAGGGCTTCTTCACATGTGTATTTCTTTTAAGAAGGCATTTCTTTGGGCACCATTAATTTTTGACCATTTGACCTTGACCTTGATGTTTGACTTACTTTGGAAAACTTTAACCTTTTCCATATCTTTTCAATGGTTGCTGCTAGGGCTTTCATATTTCATAGGTGTATTCCTCGGTACAAGACCTTACTTTGGGTACCAGCATATTTTATTTGCATTTGAGAAAGTTTAACCTTCGCTATAAAATGTCATAGCGGGGCAACAGTGTTTCACAAACACATCTTCTTTTTTTTTTTAAATACCGGTATATTTTTGAGTTGCTACTGACATCAAAGGTCAAGATCAGGTATAATTACATGTCAAGGTCAGGTATTAAGTTATTATGATTATTTGTATAAATATTAAGATGAAATCATTTGATATTAGTATTTACAAGGCTAAGTTTAGAGAAACTATGAAGACAACCCTATGCTCTAAATTCAGTTTTTAAATGAAAGTTAAGTTTCAACATTGATATCAGGCCCGTAGGAAGCAATTTCACCTTGATGAGGCACAACCATACATTTTCAGTTAGGGGGCACTATCAACTACCAAAATTCCTTGACAAGCAAAAAAAAAGTCATCAGACGTTAATTATTATTGAGGGGGCACAAGCAAATAATAGCTATGTTTTCTATAGTATTCTATATATCGGCAAAATTGTTGGGGGAGGGCACCCCCCCCCCCCCCCGGTTCCTACAGCCATGGATATTCATCAAGAACTATAGCATTAGATTCAATTGAAAAAATATTATATGAGGTATGATGCGCTGCTTATTTTATCAGAAATGATTTTTATGCCGTATCATGATATGAAGAAATTTTAACACTGAGAATAGGAAAAGTAATAAATTTATTTTCACAACATAAAATTAAAATATGAAGTGAATATATAAAAATAATATTTTAGTGTCATACCTATTTTATTAAGTTCATATTAGAACACATAATAAAGCGCTGCTCCTTGGGTCAGAATATTACACTATGCTTGTAAGAAAAGAATGAAAGTTTTGAAACATTTTATTCACTCAAGACCCCACCGGAGGCACAAGAGTACAAACATAATACCATTTTTAAACATCTAAAACTAGTCACGCATTTTGTTTATCCATTAGCAAGAGTTATCTTTCTTATTTTTTCCCATTGGATGCTAATAAAAATTCTATATATGGTACACGAAATATTAAAGCATTTGTAAAATGGTTCATTAAAGGATAGAACTCATTCAATTTGCAAGTTACTGTTTCCAATTGGCCTGTCAAAGTCTGCATTACTAAACTCTGGTTAGATTAACTACGAGTAATATTAGGATTTTTTACTTGGAAAGTTATCGCTTTTATCAGAGGGTCGATCCCCCTTAAACAAATATAAAAGTCAAATCGAGGGACCAGACATCTTAATGTGGCTGTTACGTTTCAGCATAATGCAGTTCTTCGTGTATATTTTAACTTAGAAAGTACATACATACATGACTGTATACAATATTGATATAACTCATCGCCTGATTTCACTCAAAGATTAAGGTGAAATTGGTATCAATTCTTGCTGACAATCATTTCAATGTGGCACAGGAACTTGAGTCTAATACTAAATGATATAACCCAGTCGATAGAGACCGGGAGATTCTAAGACTGAGTAAGAGGATCAATTCACTGTACGAATAAGTCAGTCCTGAGACTGAAACTGAGTCAGAAGATCAATTCACTGTACGAATATAGTCAGTTCTTATATTCAGTCAGAAGATCAATTCACTGTACGAATATAGTCAGTCCTGAGTCTGAGTCAGAAAATCAATTCACTGTACGAATAAGTCCGTTTTGAGTCTGAGTTAGCAGATCAATTCATTGTACGAATAAGTCAGTTCTGAGTCTGAGTCAGAAAATCAATTCACTGTACGAATAAGTCAGTTCTGAGTCTGAGTCAGAAAATCAATTCACTGTACGAATAAGTCAGTTTTATGACTCAGAAAATAAATTCACTTCAGAGTTCTGAGTCTGAGACAGAAGATCAATTCACTGTACGAATAAGTCAGTCCTGAGACTGAGTTAGAAAATCAATTCACTGTATGAATAAGTCAGTTCTGAGTCTGAGTCAGAAAATCAATTCACTGTACGAATAAGTCAGTTCTGAGTCTGAGTCACAAAATCAATTCACTGTACGAATAAGTCAGTTCTGAGTCTGAGTCAGAAAATCAATTCACTGTACGAATAAGTCAGTTTTGAGTCTGAGTCAGAAAATCAATTCACTGTACGAATAAGTCTTTCTTTGGGGGGGGGGGGGGGGGATTCTCATTCCTTCCTTGTTCTTTAAAAAATTGTTTGGTTGCTCCCGACCAACTGGCTAAAAGTGGTACGACTCTTAAAACTTATTTTTAACCTTCAGGAAGAAACTTTTTTTTATGCATTATAGAAAACAGACTATAAAAATTTAGCATTGAAATTGAAATTCCCTGAAAAAAATCCCTACCGACCCTTTTTTTCACTCTGAGTCGGGAGAGGACAAAAAAAAGCATTTTAAAGTTGACCTATAATTCACTGAAATACATCAGAAATTCTCTACTTTATATAATATAGATCCAAATAAAAACAAACAACCAAAGTAAAAATATAAGGATATTTATTTCATTTTATAATCTTCATTTTACTAGACATTTTTGTTACAACAATGAGCATCATAATGTTAGATATACTTATGACCCGGATGTAGAATTATAGACCATTTCATATTATGGGTGCTTAAATTTACACATTATTCTTGTAAAACTACTTTGATTTGTGGTTTTCATTACGAATAAAGAATATCTTAACTGATAAAAATGTATTCCAACTAAGGCTGGCTAAAATTAATTCTACGTTTAACGTCACCTTAAAATGCATAACCTAAACAAGGGAGGGAAATTTTTGTTTTTAAAAATCAGTTAAATGAGTATTTATTCATTTATACAAATCAAAATACTTAAATATATGTGTAACACGTAGGCTTATTGGTTAATGGTCATTTTAGTAAATCTGTCAGTTTAAAAATTGTACTCATTTCAGTTGTACTCATCTCAAGTTTACCTCATAGAGGGCCCAAATATTCTCCATTACTGTGGAATGCAGATTTAGTTGCTAAAAGTTAAAGCAACAAACCCGATTAGAAATTTTAAAATTTACTTTTTTTAATGGCAATTTCTCTAAAAGTTACGCGCACCGATGACTTTAAACATAGATTTAACTTTGGACAGCCTAAAAATGAGTGCATTTCAAAATATTTTCTTAAAATGTGAAACTAGATTTAAATATCATAAGGGAAAAAATAGGTAAGAGCGTGTAAACCATTCAACATATTTGAATCCTTATCTAATATATAAATGTTTACAAAGAAAAGATGGACTTCAATATTAAAAATTAAAAAAATAAATATAATGCAGTCAATATGCATACAATTTTTCGTATTCTCAGTTAAGTTTTAAAAGTGCTAGATCTAGAATTTTTGTATGGGCAGAATTAAATTTTGTGTGAGTATTCATTTGATATTAACTGTACCGATATGATCAGACATTTATATGTAAAAACGTAAATTTTAAAACTTGTGCGTGGAACCATTTTTGAGTACAGTGGTGTATATTTTTTGATAACTTCAGAATTGTCATGGTTTTCAACAGTATGCATCTAACAAGTTAAGTTTGCGAAGGATGGACATCAGTTTCGAAAAATATTAATCGTAATACTTTGTGATTGACCCCCCCCCTCCTTTTTAAGAATAATGGTAATTTTCTCTGATTGATGTTGTGCAATAAAGTCCAGATAGAGGCTGGGAAAGTTTACAAGTGGGGTACAGAGAGGTCTAGTTTACTAGTATATATATAGTTATTATCTAGATGATAATTTACACGACAGAGGGAAACAAACCAAAAAAATATAATTATATAAACATTTAGGAAGAAACATTATAATAGCATTTATTAACACATGATGTTCTAAAAATAAGAATTCATCTATAATATACAACATACACTGTACACATACGATCATGTACGTACATAAAAATTTAAAGCCTATGCAAATAGACGATTTTCAATGTTAATTACATTAATTACAGATACCTGTACACTGTACATGCTTATATGATATTTTAAAGAGTATAAATATAACAATATATTTACAATTCCATCTCAACAAAAAAATAACAGTAACAGTTTGTTTCCTATACATAAGAGACGTATCTGACAAAATTATTTACAAACATTGGATTTCACTTGATAACATCTAGGCAGTATGTATGTCACCGTCATTAGACTGTGCGCTTGAACTTTTCGGGTCAATTAACCAGCTATATACTAATATTTATCAGCAACACTTACCTCGAGTTCATATGGCTCGAGTTCACAAACTGAGGGCTCTAGTTCATGTTATAGGCTAGAGTTTACTAGCTGGGGGCTCGAGTTCATACAAGTAGGATCGAGTTTAAACTGAAGTTAAAAGGTACAGACTCGAGTTCGATAACTATGATATTGCGTTCCACAGTAATTTTTCAAGTTCCCCACCTGTAAACTCAAATCCCCCGCTTTATGCTCGAGTTCATTGACTGTAGGATTAGGTTCAACAGCTACCGCTACAGGTAGGTGCCACGTCACCGGCTAAATATTGAGTTTTCCAGCTCTAAGCTCACCTCGACGACTCCAAGTTCGAGTTCACCACTCTTTGTGACCAGCGTTAATTCACTAAGCTCGTTAGATTTTTTTTTTCGTATCTCGACAACTTCAGAAGAGAAGCTTGTGTGAAATACCATACCTTGAACACCAGCGCACATAACAGTCACATCCCGTAGAAGAGTTTCATTTAAATTGAGTACACTGTACAACTATCGACAAACGTTTAAATGAAGCGTCTTTTCACATGTTTTACATTTGACGTAACAACACCAGTAATATTTGCATTCACAACGTTCTACTATTGTCTTGGTGAAGCTTCGGTAGCCCCGTCCACAACACATTGCGTCACATCCGCCCCAACCGGAACTGTCAGTCCTGCAAAACCTACCAAAAAAGATAAAAATTACAAATTTAAGAAATAAATATAATTTGTTGAATTTCTTAACTCTTATATGTAATTCCTTGGACAATTTTTGCAATTATATATTTTCTTATTTTAGTTTTTGTTTAATTCAGCGAAAGTCTTCATGCGGCAGAAATGCAATTAAGGGTCGATACATGTAACTTGTATACTGTAATTAAAGGTAAATATGCTGTAATAACCATCAATGATATAAATTCCACAAATGTATCATACGTAAATGATATACGTGTATCATTTATCAACAACTAATTATAAGTCACAAGTAACCAACAATGATACAAAATACTATTTTCCACTAATAGACATTATGCCACTTATGGATGTCCTAATTCACATTTTGCCCCTCTAAGAAAAAATGATACAAATTTTATTCATGAAAAGTCACCCACCTAGTTAGCTACATTAAATCATTCGATGGTTTTATATCGTTATAGCAACAATGTGTCGATAAAGGGGACAGTTAGGGTAATGCTGACAGCATTAATGACTAACAAAACCAAAACAATCCATATCCTTAAAAAGAAGATTGAAAGGTGATTATGAGTTATAAGAAAGGTTTATAAAACTGTCTTCATGCGTTGCATAAATGTGAGAATTCAACGCCTGTTAAAATATACTGTTCAAAGTTCATATTAAAGTATTCAATGTATAATGAAGGGATTTTGAAGAATTTTGAATCATTTTAAACTAGTTAAAATTGCATTGCTAGAAAACGATGAAAGTGAAAAGAACCAAATTCACATGACTGATAACATATAAGAAGCTGGTCATTCTGCACTTTTAAAGTTTTTGAAGAGTTATCTGCCCTTGATGCAAAGAAGAAAATTTTGATTTCGTCAAAATATCTGTGGTAAATGATTAATTTTATTTCATATTTTAATAATGAGAGAGTGTATGCATATTTTCACCAAGAGCTTTTTATGAAAATCATAATACTTTTTACAATATCCTAATAATTCATGCATTGCCCATAGACTTAAATGTAAAATTCAAGGTGCAATTAACAAAAAAATCTTAACTTATTATGACATGACGTTAAGGAATTAGATGATAGATGCTCCTAAGTTGCACGCGGAGATTCTATATCGAATTCGGATAACGGTTCAGAAGTTATCTCTCTTTCATTACACTCTCTCCACAAGTAATACAAAACCAGTCAAAACGCAACGTTGACTTAATTTTTTTTTTCCTTCACGCTTGCTTACTCCCTAATCACGGTCAGTTTGATTAATACATCACAACCTTAGCAGATTTATGAGGGACAATTTTTATCACTTTAAAAAGAATGCTAGGGCTTCACTGATGGTATCGCTGAGAATATCAGTATACATTTATTGTGAGCATGAACTCGGCTCTCTAGGGCAAAGAGGTAATAAAGGTCGCTTTAGAGAACCCAACTCTCTAGAACAAGGAGATAAGAAAGGTCTCTTTATTCTGATTGTCAATCGTAATCATCATAAAATGTGTTTAAGACACAATAGATTCGTCTAAGTCTGGACAGAAGGCAAATTCAATTATTAGCCATCGGAGGAACAGCAGCGTACTAAAAATAAAAAAAAGATATTGACCATCAGCGGACCAGAAGCGTACTAAAAATAAAAAAGATATTGACCATCAGCAGACCAGCAACGTACTAAAAACAAACCACACGGAATAAAATCCAGAAGAGGTCAAACTTAAATTTATGTTACAAGCAAAAAAGTCCTTTTCGTAACTGATTGCAATAATGGAACTTGGAGTCAAATTATATTTGTAAGATGTTATTTATCATTACTTACCTCCCTTGAGTTCCAGCTGACCCCGTTTTTGGATCGGGACTACAATAGTCTGGAGATTTTGTGAAATAAATCAGAGATTTTTTTGAAACACTCTGTACGTTAGATCTCACTGGGACAAATATCCGCTTATTTTTGCGTTTTTTCCTCCGCACTTCCACGGCATTGGCGTATAAATTTTTTAAGGTTGTTCCTATCACAGAAAAATCCGGAAGTGACCTCCAACAAGTCTTTATGGAACAGGATCCGGACACTCCGTGACATTTACACGCTGTGGTCATACTCTGAGCTACTATCTGTAAAACAGATTACATATAAACATCCTCAGAAAGAGACCCACACCTATGTCGTATGTGTTAAGGAAGTTTTCAAAACTTTCCCAAAAATTAAAAAACACTGTACAAAGTATTTAAATTTACAATGTTAGAGATGAGAACCAGATACAGAATCTGTGATGTAAAATTGATCTAGAATTAAATGTACATGACAGGTAGAGATATAACATAACATCATTCAGTATCTATCTTATATGTGTGAAAAATTAGCTGATTTCATGAAACAACATATGTACAGAAATCTCCAAATTAAAAGCTTCCAATGAATCTCTATTTCAGATTACGACTTTATATTCGTGCTTCTAATGTTCTCAGTTACAGACTTCAAGAATTATACAAGATTCATTACATGTGCTTCCAATGACAATACTAAAGGTGATTAAATAATGCTAAACATATTTAAACGTACCAAGCGTCCAGCTGCGTTATTATGACTATTCATTTTTGACTTTTTGGAGTTTCTAATTTTGCCTTTCTTCATCAGTTCTGCATCAGTGAACTGTTCACCGAAGTGAAGTCCATATTTCAGATCGTCCCCGCATCCTCCCCACTTAAAATCCTCGTGGGGTGGGTGGTTGGGGAGGGCACCACAACTGCATTTAGTGGTCACTCCCACACTACACGCACGTGCAATTGAATGCACGAGAGACGCTGAGGCTATAGCGTATACATATGCTTGCTCTCTGGTACCTGGAATATGATAACATCATATTACACAATGATAACAAATGAATGTTCAGAGAGATTTAAATCTAGACTGAAATTAAGTGCGTTAATTCAAAATATACCACATTCACACACGTGATTAAGTTAAAAAAGCAAATGTACAACTAGATATACATGTAATCATAATAATAAAAATTTATTTAAAGTTAACCGCGTCATATCTGTTTAGGAAATCAGTTCTTCATCATTTGAAATACTAGCCTCAAATACTGTTAAAGATAGAACACTGAAGGACAATAATTATGTAAGAATTATTTATTGGCAAATTATGTCTGGTTTCGCGCCAATAAGGTGCTTCCTCTTTACCGCCTTTCAATATCAGACAGTGCTTTATGAATCTCAGATTCTAGAAAATGACAATAAACAGAAAGAATGAGCAAAAGAGAGGTCTTCATAAATAATCTAAAATGGCACTCGTTCCGTTTTATTTACAGATTAACAAGACGCAGAAATCCCACCTCAACACCTAGCGGAAGATAATACTTCCTAACTAAAAGTCAAATACATCATGGTGCTTATCTCCGGCTTGGTAACAGAATAAATCAGAGAGATGATACAGCGTTATTTTTACATTGGTAGATTTATACGTCCTGTCTCTCACAATTTACATAATGTTCTGCTTCAGTGTTTGCAGAAATACAAATCTTCATAAACGACTTCCTTACGAATACCGTTTGTTTCATGCCAGTATAATTGCCAACTGTACATAGAAAAAGGGACATTAGAACCACTTTAAGGGACGATTCTTATTCTAATTTCTTAATAAATAAAATAGTTTTACATTCCTTGATAAATTACGATCTATCGATATTTTTAATCAATATCTGCACGATATTTCGGAAATAATCTGAATTTATTTTATATTTCATACCTCTTACTATAAATACCGGAAATGTATCGTAACCCACGCATATTTCTAGACTTTTTTTCCTGTCAGAGAGTTAACACTATTAATGACAAGAATCGCTTAGACAAATATTGTGTTATTGGTTATCAGTTGCTGCATAATCTGGTCATCGGGACGCTTTAATACAGTAGCAAGTATCAAGTAATTAGAAAACTTTAAAAGATTAGCAGGATAGAGACATGTCAATTTCCAAATAGAAAAAAATTATATACAACAAATTTTGATTTTTAAGTCAATGTAAGCATTTAAATTGCAAAAAATTGGTGAATTAGTTGACTTTTCCTAGTTTTCTTGACTTTTTCTTGCTTAAAAAGCTTCCTTTTATTTTAGTTGACCTTTTTTCGGTAAACCTGTTTGTTAAATATATTTTTTTCATAGCAAAGTATATGTATATTTGAACTAAACTATATCATGAATTTATGAACCTTCATATTGTAATTGAGCCTTCTCAAAGTTTTGCTCTTTTATAATTATCTGATTGATAAATTAGAAGGATCCTCTATGAATCACACTTTGACAGAATGTAAAATACTCAATTTCAGAACAGTTGTATTTAATTGTATTTGTATAGTGACCATATTTCTTCGTTATGTAAGATGTTTCGTACCTTGTTCTCTTAACGAGACGGAACGCAGCACCAGTTCTTTTACATTCTTAATTTATTTAGGATATTTTTGTCAAAGATGCAGGAAATATTCCATTTTCTGGCTGCTAAATTATAAGGCAGATAGTTTTTGATGCTTCATAAACCATTGTAAATGAAGGGTATAGAGTTAATACCGTTTCGTCACGTTTTTTCATCCGAGGTGTGATGGGTCTGGTCAAAGCTTTTATTGACTACATGTGTTCTTTAAAAGAAATTTTTGGACTTAATTAAATTTTACAGTAAAGGGATACCTTTCTATTAAGCAAGATTAACACTCTGTAAATAACAGAATACCTGTGTATTGTTGATACTAGATACAGACAAGTTGTCTGATGAAATCTGAACACATCATTTGAGTTTGAATATTTCATGAATTCTCAAAATGTTTTCCTACATATCTTCTACCTGCATTCATTTTACTTCATTTGTGTCTAGCATGCATGTAGTACACATGAACTCACGTTTAAGCAAATTAATTATTCCGTATGCTGAGAAAGGACTATATGTATTTAAGTGCATAATTTTTTTTTTGTTTTTGATTGGCTTACACAATGCGTTTACGAATAATTTAAAAATGACATGGTCATGAATGGCTTAATTTACACATACCGGTGACTTGCCTTTAAAGCCTTTACTCTAGGATGCTATTTGAATTTTGATCTGCAGTTGGCAGGACAGAGAGTTTATCTATGATGTATTTATGAAGAAAAAAAAATTGAAATTTACAAGCTCCTAACAACTTAATTGCAGTCCGTCTTATGATCAGCACAAGCTTATCTTTTAAAAAAAAGATAAATAAGCTAGCGCTGTAACCATTACACAGAAGTAAATACATGTACATAAACCATTGTTTTATTTTGCTGAGAATCGATAAATTCTAATAGGAAGACAAAGTGGTGCACTGGGTTTGGTGTGTGTGTGGGGGGGGGGTGGGGGGGGGGTGGTCTCAATTAAGAATGGTGAAACTCGAGTGGACTTAACGTTGGCAATGTCATCACTTTGTTTTAAGTATTCTGTACTTCACTATAATTTAATTTTGAGGTGAAATATTAATTATTTTAAAAGATTGGTAGAACCAATTGGTAGACCTAATTTGAGTAGTTAATATAGTTGACGTGCACTTCAAACCTAGTTTGAAATATTCCACTGTGACTACTTTTTTTAGCAATTGCATCTTCTGGGGCCTTTCCGACAACTCGGAAAATCATTCCGGAGCTTGCCGGAAAGATCCGGCAAGGTACCAGACGCTCGGCTGTCTCCGTAAATCTCCGACGAGCAGCTCATCGGAGATTTACGGAAACGGTCGAGCGTCAGTTGAACCAGTTTAGGAAGGTACATGTAGGTTTTTATTATAATTTAAATAACTGTTATCTATAAAAGGGCCTACTTTTACCGTTACACTTTTGTAAATTTGAGAGAACAAACATGAGACTTCAGATCATTTGCATTTTCGAAAGAGGACTGATAAAACGAAACTGACATCGTACAATTTATCTACTCCCAGAATGCCCTATCATGAATTCGAGCATGCGTATTCTAGTAAAAAAAAGACTAACATACTTGCTAGCGCTCGAGAGCGCTAGCAATAATTATACATGTACTACATTGTAGACATCTAGTAGTGAACTGGATCAGAGACATAAATAACAGAGATTTGAAACTCCGCCATTTACCGGCTTATTTTCCTAAAATCCCGATCCCACTATTATTCTTAAAGTTACTCTTGGTTTTATAATTCTATCTTAGTTAACGTAATATCAATTCTTTTGAACCAGTAACGATGATTATGTCTTCATGTTTTGTAAAATGTGAATTCATTTCTTTAACAAGTACCTGCATAGAGCGAGCATTTTGAAATTGTAAACTGAAAAGGACAAAGAACCAGTTCAGAATTTACCTCTCGTGAGATCACGTGACAATTTTGGTGCTTTACGAACAGATGAACAGTTCCATCTTCTGTCTGCAAACTGCCCTTGACAAGTATCCATGGCAACATAAGCTGCGTGTGCAACTGTTCCCATTAAGTCCAGATTTTGTTTACATTGTTTACTCTGCTTGCCAATAAGTCCCAAAGATTTCGAACAATTTTTGTCGTCAGTCCAAGATTTCTGCTTACTTTGATAAAGAGTTCTGAAAAAAATTAATGAATGAATATTAACTAAGATTAAATGATTAATAACTGTCACTGGTTCATTTGAAAATAGATCTTTTATATATTTTTGCGCACCGGCTGCAGTAGATCACAATTGATTCCATCTAAAACAAGAGGCCCATGGGCCACATCGCTCACCTGAGCACATTGGCTAGGAAAAAAAGCAAAAATCAGTTCAGTATTGAAAAGTTAACGGGGGAGAGAGAGGGGGGGATGGGGGATTTTAAACTACCTAACAATGCTTTCATATCAATATAACAAATGAATTTGCTGTTCTTGAGCAGAAGATTTTTTCCCATATATTCATTTGTAAAAATTTGATCCCCCATTGTGGTCCCACCCTACCCCTGGTGGCGCTCATTTCAACAAATTTCATTTTATACTACCCAACGATGCTTCCATATCAATTTGACTAATCATAGCTTTTCTGTTCTTGAGAGAAAGATTTTTTCCTATATATTCCTCTGTAAACTTTGATCACCCATTGTGGCCCCACCCTACCTCCGGGGGTCATGATTTGAACAAACTTGAATCTACACTACCTGAGGATGCTTCCATATAAATATGACCAATCATGTCTTTGCTTATCTTGAGAAGAAGATTTTTAAAGTTTTTTTTTTTTCTGTATACTCTTATGAAAAACTTTGACCCCCCCACCCCATTGTGGCCCCACCCTACCCCAAGGGGTCATGATTTGAACAAGCTTGAATCTACACTACCTGAGGATACTTCCATATAAATATGACCAATCATGTCTTTGCTTATCTTGAGAAGAAGATTTTTAAAGTTTTTTTCTATATACTCTTATGAAAAACTTTGACCCCTCCCCCCCCCCCATTGTGGCCCCACCCTACCCCAAGGGGTCATGATTTGAACAAGCTTGAATCTACACTACCTGAGGATGCTTCCATATAAATATGACCAATCATGGCTTTGCTGTTCTTAAGAAGAAGATTTTTAATGATATTTTCCTATATATTTCTATGTAAAACTTTGATCCCCCATTGTGGCCTCACCCTACCCCCGGGGGTCATGATTTGAACAAACTTGAATCGATACTACCTGAGGATGCTTCCTGAGGATGAATCCCCTTAACCCAAGGATACTTTGTGGCAAGTTTGGTTGAATTTGGTCCAGTGGTTCTTGAGAAGAAGATGAAAATGTGAAAAGTTTACAACAACAACGACGACAACAACGACGACAGACAACGGACAAATTTTGATCAGAAAAGCTCACTTGAGCCTTTGGCTCAGGTGAGCTAAAAAAAAGTAAATATAAGCATTTGTACGCATAAATGTTTTTTCCCGCTTCTGAAGGCAAAGCGGTCTTTTTTTTAATTTGGTAAAAACTAATTCATTATTATGTTTTCAGAAAAATAACATGTGTATAATTGTAAGCCAATGAAACCAAAATGTTTTGCAAAGAGTTTATTAACTGAAAGTTGTGATTCGTAAAGCTGATCGTATAGTGGCTCTTAGCGTCCCCCTTGAAGTACGCCGTAGATCGTATTTTATAATGTACAATACATAATACTTATTACGTATGAAATAGACAAATCAGATTCAAGTAAACAAGTTATTCAATAAATTTGTACAAAATCCTGGAATTTTATAAAATAAATTGTAATTGAAACATAAACTTAAATAAGCTTCAGTCCAACGTCCTAGTATTGTGCAAAAGTTAATATAATGTTAAGATAACTTTAGCAATGTTCCGGTACTGTTCCTGTATCGACTTCCCAAGATAGATAAACATCCTGGTAGCTTACATTGTCCTTAATCCGATTACCAGGCTTGTTTACTTTTACGGAAAAGTCTTACACTTTCATATCCCGATTGGATTATAGGTCAGTGCACTCTATCTTAAGTACATTGTAAATAGTTTAATATGTTTATTTTCTGATTAAAATAATTGTCTCAAACCCTATAGGTTTACATAATAGTACGAAATTGTTAACATTTTTTTTTTGGACTGATACCCTGACATTATCTGAGACTGTATTTCCTAGCAGCAGCGATTGGAAACATGGATAGAAAGAGAAGCAGTTCAACTACTTCCCGTGAAAAACAAAAAATATAATTTACACTTCCTTGTAATTTAATTAAAAGAGACACTTGCTTATTTCTAACATAATGTTATATATTATGTTGGAAGAAAAAGAGAGGACTAACTATAATATCTATCAGCAACGCAAATGGCGACTTACATATACATGTAGGTAAACTACTAGTAATGATAGTCATACATGTAAGCATCAGTTAAAGAAAATTTTATGTTGGACTCTTTCGAGAGTTTTGAGGTAAAGAAAATTCCAGTTCAAATCTTTTTTTTTTTTTTTTTTTTTGGATTGCAAATGTTGATTTGCCCCCGAATGTTCCGGGTCACACTCGATTTGTCACCTCGCTGTGGGAGTCACTGATCCCGGACCCGAGATCTCTGAGGGTGAATTACCGTCTGCTCGTTGGATTAAGACATGTATCGTCTGCATAAAAGGCGGGGAGATTACTGAGGGTGCATTAATGTGTGTCAGGGGATTAGAGCCTGACTTTTTTATGAACTTGATCAGCCCTGTCATTGCATACATAATCCCCGTGTCAATACGACACGACATTACACAATCACCTACGCTGCTTCGGTTCAAATCAAAGCATTACCTTGACGCGGTGTGCTGGGAAAGTCGTCAGGGAATTTAACATAATCCAGAAAAACATGAAATGTCGCAAAGTATCAAGTCGTTCGACGGTAGAACACATAGAGAGGTGAACCAAGGTGACGGGAAATATGTATAGACTACTTCTTATCAGAGTGACCTGTGACCTGGTCTTGATTTCTCTACATGTGTAGATCTTCTAGTGAATACAATAAGGTTGAAGGAACAAATGCATTGAAGTCCCTTATATCAACAAGTCCTAAGAGACCGTCCCAATTTCATAAATTATTGGAACTTAGGCCCGCTAAAAAGCTGATTCGAGATAATATGACACTGTATTTTCATTTGTCACTTCCAGTGTTGAAATAGCCAAGGATAGTTATGTCGACCCTTATGATGGAAACTTCAGGACTTAATTCTTATAATGAATCCTAACCGTGAATGAGAGCCTTGGGTCATCACGCTCACCTGAGTCTCATTATTGAGTATCCAGACATAAGATATATTTTATTATAAGCCTTCAGGAACTTAGTGGATGTCCCTGTTTTCAACATTTTGAATCAGCAGAAAACACATGTATTGATACTTGAATATATACTTTAGTATATGAGGGGCACACATTTTGATCTTGGCATTCTAGATCTGGATGATAACTTTTTACGTAGAAGTACAGCATTTTGGGGGACACATCCCAACTCGTGTTGCCAAAGTTAAACAAACCCCCATCAACACTACGTAAAGATGTTTGCATACAAAATTGTCCTATTACTTTACTGTTCCTTAAAAGAAACTGTTTAAAACATTTTACCTACATTTAGAGAGATTCACATTTTTGGGGGGACCCCAAACTAGTCTCAAGAGGTATAATATAAGGAGACGTATGTGTATATAAATAAGTATGAAAGGATTTATTTCTAAACTTTGTCTTTTATGGTTAGTCTGTTTAATTAAGTGAAAATGATTCTCAAACAACGCTAACTTCGTACTACTTTTCCCATTCCTTTTCGTTCCCCTTAATCATGTTAAAAGCCGAGATAATATTGGTCCAATACCTCAGTGGAGGTATACAGGAGACGAACAACATACACAAAGCAGAGCAGGATCAGAGAAGCTCCATTCGAGCATTTAGCTCGGCTCAAAACCTGGTACTAACTTCGTTCAAGACTTTACATCTCGACACTTTTGAATATCCGTCTATCCATTAGACACTGAGTAGCTGAAGTTTTTGAATTAAAAAAAAAAAAGAAAAAGAAAAAAGAAAAAAAAAACAACACAAATATAGAAGCAGAGTAAACAAATTGCAGATATAGTTGTTTTAAAATACTGTCCAAATCAGCATGCCAATCATACCGGTTATACTTTAACCTACTAATTGTATATTATTTATTTTATTTTATTTTAATTGTCGCCACATTATTTAGGGTATCAGATGACCTTTATAGTTCATCACTGTGTTAGTCTTTATCATAAACTCTGACTATCTTGGGTGACCAATCAGGGAGTAGCTTGATCTGTAACCGGATATGGACAAGATAACACTAAATACCCGGGTGGGGTTACTGAACTCAACTCGTATCGTCTCCATCAGATTTAAACCCCCGGACATGCTTAGTAGATCTATATGACCCTGTTGTTAAGTTGATCCTTATTAAGTTCTCAAATGTCGATAGAGGTTTCTCAATTATCGGATCTTTATCTTCTGCAGTTCAGAAACACATTTATCTTAGTCAGTCATAACAATAAAAAAAAAGAAATAAACAAATAGTAGTGATATATAATATAGTAGTATTTCTCTCCGTAAATATCATTCAAATTTGCAATATCCTAGTTGCATTGTTATTTCAGTGCATTCAATGCATGTCTATAAAATACTTTTTGGGTTGTTTTTGTAAAAAAATAAATTTCTATGATATTAATGAATGATGATTGAAATTGAATAAACAATAACTTCATAAGTAAAACAGAAATAATGTTTGCGGTCGGGAATGGAGTTCTTCATAGTGTTCTTACTTTCTTTCTTTCTTTTTTTTTTAATTAAGGGGAGTTGGCCACTTATAACCATGGTTATAAGTAAACCCTACGGAATTTTGAACACAATCACCCCAGCCTTGACTTTTGTGAAATGAGGACGAGAAGATCGATTACACAAAGATTTCAGGAGAGAAACCCGTCCTCGCGGCGGACATCGGCACCAAATCCTGGTTACCGTGACAAATGTGAGAGGTGTAAAAACATCTGCATTTATTGTACAAGTTTACGTCGACAGGAAAAAAAGTGAACGAGACTTAGTTATTATCTATCTGAGAGACCCACCGGGGATATCTGTGG